CTATGTCTTTTCCTGTGCTTCATATTTCTTATTGTTATAGTTTTTGTTAAATCCCTGTCTTAAAGTAAATTCGTGGGGAATAGGAAGTAAGCAGGGCTAAAATGGCACATTAGCATGGTGTAAGGGAAAGCTGCTAGGAATGAACTATCATCTCATTTATACATGTGCAGAGCAGTCAAAAGGAAAGACGCTATGATCATGTAGACACTACCAACGTTTTCCTCTGACTTTAAGCACCGATCCACTAGTAGTAGTTGTACTACTCAGATTTTAGACAACAGCTGTTGGCTGCAGTATACCTAGCATCATTAGCATTTCTACGGAATATTGTCCTGCTTCTACAGGATACTCCTGTAAACTTTGGAGCAAACTGCTAAAATACAATAAAACCAACAGGTATAAAAACAGATACTCTTTTTTTTTTCCATTCAACATTGTGAACTAAAACAGTGTTCTTGCTTCCCACTGAGGCACAAATTTGCTGAAGAGTAAACATGCAATTGTGCCACTGCTCTCATGGCCCACAGATGAGAGGTTTAAATTACAGAAAGGGAACTAGTAACCCATTTTTTTTAATGAATGAAATCATACTATTTGATAAGCTAATCAATCTTTTTCTATACATATATAACTTTAGAAGAGATACACTTCTAACTGATACCTTTGCCTTTCCCAGTTTGCTTTGAGGTAGTTAGCATCCACCTGTTACACAACTGTTCATGGGTTAGATCATTATCACACATCTTTACAATACTAGGTTTCTAAATTACAGAATTTGTCATATGTGAAAACTACACAGAAATAGAACTAGGCCATTACATATTTAAGCTGAGGGTATTAAAAAATTCACCGATAAAAAGAGAACATCAAAATTTGCTTTTGTTGCAAAACCCCACAATGTCTTGTTTAATGTATGTAAAACCAGAAATATAATAAAATGATTAATGCTAATGACGTAATATAAAGACAGATCACAGGACTAGAAATATTTTAGTATCAATTGGTTTTCATGAGAAAGAATATTGACATAAAAAATAAAGATAGTGCAAGGGCTGCAGACTAATTTTCTTCATTTTTGAGATTTTGGTTATAAACTGTACAGCTTGCTAGCAATGCCGCTGTTAGATTCCACTCAATAGGATGATTAAGGCACATCTAAATGGGGCTCAGTGGGCAGCTTGCTGGGTTCCCCTCAGACAAATCCACTTTCTCATCAGTTTTCATTTGTAGAATGCTGTAAAAAAAAAAAAGTGTAAGGCATTTTAAGTTTAAATTTCAAATTGTCAACCTTGTAGAAAATTCTGGAATATTTTTTGTACTCTAAAGCAACTAAGCAAACTGTTTATCATCCTGACACCTCTAATTCTATAGCTGTCTTAGTGAACTGAGTGTGATGAACTATATCATGTGTAAATATGTCATGTGCACGCAGATATCTCAATACAAAAGCCATCAATCACTGCATTACATTAGCTTAAATAAGTAAGGCAAGGTTCACTTAACTGGCAAGGTTCAATCCTTTAGCATCAGAACTACTTTTAAGAGAATAAACATTTGTTAATTCCTGCAAAAAAAAAAAAAAGAGTCACACAGGTGGTACTGGTTTTGAAGCATGACGGCATCATGAAGAACAGCTGAGGCTCGGTACTGTGAGAGGCCAGGGAAGGCCATTGGTGAAGGTGCAGCCCTAGCTGCAGTTGACAGCTCAGGACTGAAGAGGTCAGCCAAAGTATTTGAGGCTTGGCACCATGAAGAGAGCCTGTGAGAGGCTATTGGTGTAACCTAGTTACAGGGGAAGACCCCATCATACTGGAGATGCCAGTACCATGAAGTGATCAAGAACACCAGAGCAATGAAGTGGATTAACCTGAACTTAGAGTTCTATGGAGGGCAGAGCTAGAGAAGTGATGCCAGCCCTTTGGAGGAGCCCAGACATTGAAATAAGAAGCTTTGAAGTTGCCTTGGAGACCCTAAGATGTTTGAGATGCCAGAGCCATAGGCTATCTGCTCAGGAAAGCTGCTAACAGGGATTAGAACCAGCCCAGGAGAAAGAAGTTTGTTACAGTCAACAAAGATAAAAAAGGAGTTGGAGATTTGAAGACTGCTTTGACATTAGACATGGAGGATGAGGAGTTAAGAGTTTGCCCAGTTTGTTTCCTGTCTTACTTTGAGAATTACAGTTAAGTGATTGGATGAATCTCAGAAGAAACTTTGAGCTTTGAACACTGTTAAGACTGCTGTAGACTATGAGGACTTTTGAAGTTGGACTAAATGTATTATTTTGCATTATGCTATGTTTAGGTATGGCCCCCATAGACTCAGATATTTGAACAAGCCTATTGGGGCCAGGAAGTGGAATGTGATGGTTTGTATATGCTTGGCCCAGGGAGTGGCACTATTAGAAGGTATGGCCTTGTTGGAGTAGGTGTGTCACTGTGGGCTTGGGATTTGAGACCTTCATCCTAGCTTCCTGGAAGTCAGTATTTTGTTAGCAGCCTTCAGATGAAGATTGTAGAACTCTCAGCTCCTCCTGCACCATATCTTCCTGGATGCTGCCATGTTCCCGCCTCGATGATAATGGACTGAACCTCTGAACCTATAAGCTAGCCCCAATTAAATGTTGTTCTTATAAGAATTGTCTTGGTTATGGTGTCTGCTCACAGCAGTAAAACCCTAAGACAGCACCTTTGTATCAAACTATTTCCTTCTGGGCTTTTGGCCAAATGAGTCAATTTGACCTTCACTGGAGGTGTGGCAGATATGGCTACCCTATCTTGGAATTTTAACCTCTCAAACTATGAGTAAATCTCTTTGACTAATATCCCACACTGGATATTTCATTATACTAAGTACAGTTCATTAAGCAATAGGTCCTTAAGAACTACTTATGATTGATGTATCATCCTTTTACTAATTTCCAAAAAGTTTCTCTTATGTGTTGACTTTTCTGTTGTAAGTTAGGCTGAATTTTTAGTCTTCTCCTGGTTATGCCTACCTGCATGTTTTCTTACCCTACCCTCAACAGACCCAAAATTAAATTATCCATTGTGTGTTTCTAACTCTGGCATCATGATACTGTCACCCAGGAGTTATCTTTGGAGTCATTTCCTATACTTTTGCTCCATTATTTTTACTATGTATATTAGCTATTAAGCCAAGCCCTGAAAAAGACACACTTGAGTCTGTATACTGAATTCTGTTCTGATCCTGGTTATGGAGGATGACCCCCACAGAGAGCCTTCTAACTGAGAAAGACAGGCCCTTTCTGATGAGTCTATGTTGGAAGCCCTCTTCCAGGTTTGGGAAGAAAATTCGAACAGGAAATTACCCAGTCTCCCATGGTAAGTTGAGAGACTAATAGTGGAGACCCTGTATCCTGGTTCTGTCTCATGAGAGATGTGGTTTCAGTATTGCTTGAGTGAATGGCCAGCCAAGTGTATAAATGATTGAATGCATGAGGGGAAGTTTGGCTCAGGGTGTTATCTGCATTCTTTTATTTTGCTGTTGGTGTTGTGTCTCATCTCTTTGAAGACGGGTTGTGCTGTGCTCACTCTGCTTAACTTGATGGACTAAAAATTCTGCCAGTTTCTCAGGACTCTGCCAGTAGGTGACTCCCTCGTATGTTGTTAAAGGCTTTTGTCTTTTCGTCTGCCAAAAAAAATGTCTCCTTCTTCTGTAGGATGGCAAAATTTCAGTTATATCAATCCACTCTGAGGCTACACACCCTGGTCCCTCACCTAGTGCCTCTCCTGCCTAAGGCTCTGCAGTGTGAGGCTGTTCCCCGGAAATGGAGAGTCCCCTGATTGGGCCTGCTTCACATGGTAGGGTCCCTGTTTCACCAGTGATCTCACTATTATCTCACTGACTATTGTTTTTCATTTGCAGAAGATACCAGGTGTTCCTGGGCAGGGGGACAACAACTTAGAGGAATCCAAATCTTTGTGACTGGAAGACCCAAGCCCACATCTTTCTTATAAGCTCCAAGCCCCTAAATACCCTCTTGGAATCTGTCCTTTACATCTGGATGACTGCCAGAAACTTCTTACTTTTCTTCTTCTTCTTCTTTTTTTTACTTCAGATGAAAGGGAAGAACTTATTAGGACAGAGATAAGGAAGACCTTTTTGGCCTTGATTTTAAGGCAGCTTTCCCATTCAAGCATCCCGATTAAGATGTGTACATAGGTCCCCAGGCCTTGAACACTTTTCATCTGTAACTCATGACTGGTACTTGGGTGCAGACTAAAACCCACTAGTTTATCTTAAGACTGCTGAGGTTCTTCAGAGCCCAAAACGTCACCTTGGGTTATTTTTTGAGTGATTATTGTCTCCTCTACCCCAAAGTTTCAGAACTTACACACATTTTTGATCCACTTACTCCTGAAAATGTTAGGGCATTAAATTTGGCTTTTGTCAATCAGCCTTGGATATTGACAAAAATACTTTAAAAGCTAGAGGGCTTTGCAGGGATGAATACCTCTCAGGTTATCGAGGTGGCCGAAAAGATACAGCACCCGAGACACTGAAAGGCAGAGGCAAGCTGCCTTGGCAGCTGAGCCACAGGCAAGCAGGCAAAGACTGTGCCGGCTGCTTTCCAGCCAGTTCAGCTCCCTGTTGCTTATACTTCTCATGTTCAACGGGAGAGAACCTCGAAAAAGAAGAACCTGCAGGAGACCTGGACAAGCGAACATAGTACGTCCCAGTCCATATCCGCCTGCGCGCTCGCTCACACGCATGCGCAGCACCACACCGTACAGCCGCAGGTTTAGCCGGGCAATCCGCCAGCGTCCACCCGGGGCACGCTGAAGTAGTTGCTTTTCGAGCGTTCCCGGTCCTCTAGACCAGATCCCCGTCTTTTTCCCTTCCACCCTTTGGCTCCATGAAAACGGTCGTCCCTCTACTACGTCAGGAACGAAATCAACTTTCCACACGGAGAACTAGACACTGGGCCTCTCGGCGCCGGCGGCTGCGCGCGCAGCTGCTCCACCCCTTCCGCTGCTCATGCGCAAGCACGGCCGCCTCGGCGCGCCCGGGTTGGCTGCTCCGGCGGCCTCCACGGCAGTAATGGCTTCTCTGATGTGATAGTTTCCCCCGCCCCCTCGCGTAGGACGCGGCGGTGGGGCGGCGGTGGAAAGCCCAACTTTATTGTTCCCCCGGCCCACCTCCCGGCGCGTCCTCAGGATGCTCGGGAGCTGAGCGCCGGGGGCGGCGGAGGGTCGCGGTCCGTCCGGGCCCTCGCCTCAGAGCGCAGGGCCAAGGGAGGGAGGGAGTCACGATGTCAGGTAGCCGCCAGGCCGGCTCGGGTTCCGCTGGAACGAGCCCCGGCTCCTCGGCCGCCTCCTCGGTGACTTCCGCCTCCTCGTCCTTATCCTCGTCTCCGTCGCCGCCTTCCGTGGCGGCCTCGGCGGCGACGCTGGTGTCGGGCGGTGTGGCTCCGGCCGCGGGCTCCGGCGGCCTCGGCGTCCCGGGGCGGCCTGTGCTAGTGGCGGCCGCGGTGTCTGGCAGCGCGAGCGCCGGCGGGGCGGTGTCCGCGGGCCAGTCCCGGCTCAGCTGCGCGGCCAGGCCCAGCGCCGGCGTTGGAGGGAGCAGCTCCAGCCTCGGCAGCAGCAATAGGAAGCGACCTCTGCTCGTCCCGCTTTGCAACGGGCTCCTCAACTCCTACGAGGACAAAAGCAACGACTTCGTCTGGTGGGTTTGTATAGTAGCCCCTGGATGCTTGACCACGAGTTTCTGCTGCCGAACCTGGCAGGGTCCCGTGTAGAGAGGCCTCTTGGAGGTGCTGGGATTCGAGCCTACAGAGTGTTTGCGGAGTTAAAGTTCCTCGTTGGGAGGTGGAGATGGACTGGGATCCTTGGGCAAAGTGGTGAAATGGGGTTGCACAGAAGTGGGTGCTGGTGTTCAGAAACTGAAGGCGTTTAAGGGAGTGCTTAAGGTGGAGGTCCAGTAAGTGGTTATTAGAAAGGAGGTATTCGGGCTAGGAGGTTAAATCCCAACTGTTTTTTTGGCCATCTAGTGGACGAAGTTATCAGTCTGGAGGAGTTCATGAAATTAGATTTTCGGAGGTAGGGCCTGAGAGTCTGAGATGTGGACTTGCTGGTCAACACTTACATTGTAAAAAAGTAGATGGTACTTGAAACATAGTTGGTGATGCTTTCCAGTTATCTTTGCCCATCCTACGTAGCAATGTGTAAGTGTCTCCCATTGAGTGGATAGGACACTTGTAATTCTACTGTTCATAATTTTGTAGTCAAAGTTTGTTCACGACCAATTCCAGGTTCCAACTGTTGGAAAAAGGGAAACACACTTTTTATTGTTTCTGTGCGGTATGGAACTATCGCAACCCTGTGTATACAATGGAACTTCTGACTTGAGAAACACTTTTATAGTCATTGCATCACAGCTGGCGTCTCGAGTGACACAGTAGAATTCAGTCGTTTAGCATCTAAGAGGGACTTGAAGCAAAAAATGAATCCGATTGTCTTGAAGTGTGTTTTGAATTTTAATTGGGTTTTGATACTACTTGTAGGATTACGAGAGCTTAGTTAAGATTTCCTGCTCAAAAACTGGTAGAATTCTGGGCCTTTCCTGAGAAGGAACTTGTTGATTGACTTAGTCTTAACGATGTAGGAAGTTGGCTTGAACAGTCATTCTTGGGGAAGTTGGTTCAGATCACAGTGGAAGAAGGTTTTAGATGGTAGAGAGTAACCATTGAGAAAGGTATTGGCTACACTTTCTTGTTCACCAATATAGTTTGTATTTCTGCTTTTGTTTAGATTCAGAAGTAACCTGTGTGTGTGTGTGTTGAAATAGAATAATAGCTGTGGTTATTTGTAATTTAAGTAGTTTATGGTTGGGTCTACGAAGTGTTTGCATTCCTATTTTATTTTTTATTTTTTTGAGACAGGGTTTCTCTGTGTAGCCTTGGCTGTCCTGGAACTCACTCTATAGACCAGGCTGGCCCTGAACTCAGAGATCCACCTGCCTCTTCTTCCCTGTGCTAGGATTAAAGGTGTGTGTCACAACTGCCTGGGTGAGATGTTTGCATTCTTGTCCAATCAGCAGTGTCACATAAGGTAGACACTTGTAAAACAGCCTTTTCTTTTTAGGCATTATTTGCAGTTCAAACAAAGATGTCAGCATTTAAGTAGTGTAAAAGGTGTGAGAAATCAATATTATTCAGTTATTAGATAACTTAGATACTGACTGTTGAACCATCTATTTGAGAGTAATACAGTCTATGGTGTAGCCTGTATTACTGGAGGTGAATGAGGTACAGCTGGCATTTGGTTTTATTAGGTGTGTCCTATTTTCATTTCTGTTTCTGTGACCAATACCTTGACTATAAGCAACTTAGTGAAGTAAAAGGTTTATTTGGCTCGAAGTTTCAGTTACAGTTCATTATTGTGGAGAGATCAATGCAGACGATTAAAAGAACCATATGCACAGTCAAGCAGAGAGAGGAGTGTTCCATGCTGTCTGCCTGCTTGTTTGCCTGTGACTCAGCTGGCTTTCTCCACTCCTGTACAGTCAGGGCTCCATAGCCTCTTGGTGCTGCTCACAATGGGCTGGGGTCTTTCTATCAGTTGACAATCAAGACAATCCCCTACAGATATGCCAATAGGCCCGCCTGATCTAGACAGTTTCTTGGTTGAAACTCTTTCCATGTGGTTCTAGATTGTGGTTAAGTTGACTGACAGGTTTTAACTGTTAGTTTTTATAACTAGCTCAGGAGTAAGACTAAATTATTAGTTCATCACCTCGTTGTTTAAAGTAAATAAATTGAGCTTAGGGGCTTATGAGAAGACTTTAGCTGATAGGAGTACTTGTTGCTCTTGCAGAAGATGGGTCTGATTCCCAGCACCCACATGGCAGCTAACAACTGCCTGGGACTCCATTTCCAGGAGATTGAGTTCCTCTTCCAGGCTCCATAGGCACCAGGCACACAAGTGGTACACAGGCATACTTGTAGGCAAAGCACTCATATACATACAGTCTTATACTATATTGTATAGGTGTTTTGTATTCTATTATGAAAATGTCTAGTGAATATTTGTAGTTAAAATTCTGAGCATTTTACTGTGTAAGAATCTCAACTCATCATTTCTCTTTCTGATGAGATTGTCTATTCAGAAGAATTAACCAGTGAGTGCATTTTTCCATAAACTAGGTTTAATTTCGATCATTGGGCAGTGTCTTAACAATCCTTTTTAGTCCTAATTGGCCTCTGGGTGCTTTGGTCTTTTCTGTACTTCAGTGTCAGACTGAGCCAATTCAAATTACTGTAATTGTTTATATTTAAATGAGGCTTATGTTTAAATACTGTTAATTCTTTACTCATTTATCTTTCACTAGGAGGAGTTGTAAGGAGATGTTAAGGAGTGGTGTTATTTACTATAGCTGCAGTGTAATGATTTTCACTGACTATTTCAGGTAGGAGATAGCTAAGGGATAAAATGAGAAGTCAGATTTAGAGTCTCAGTTTAGCACTTTCCTCTATCAGGTTAGAAAACTTGAGCTCTGTGAGTTCCAGCATATTCCACAGTGGTTCTTAAATGGGGTTGATTGGAGGTAAGCAGCTGTTGACTCATGTTTTTCTCCTTAGCCACTTGTTCCCTTGCTGCCCCTGATCTGAGACAAATTGTAATGGGAGACTGGAGTGGCAGGTAGTAGATGAAGGACATGCCTCTCCCCCAGCTCCTTGAGAACAGTTAAGTAAAGCCCAGAATGCTCTTAGCTTTATCATATTTAAAAATAGGTTTATGTTTAATTGTAGGGTTGATTGACATTTTAGATATTTATGCTTGTAGTCTTACATTTCTTACAAATCACCATATTAAGTTGTGGGTAATTTTCACAGGATAGAAAGGCAGGGAAAATTAAGGTGACATGACAAGCCCTGTCCACCCTGGAATCTAATATGCCTTTCTTGTTGAACAAGAGCCAAGAAACTTTAACAATTTATAATGTCAAATTGCCTATAGAGATAGTGTTTTCCTAGAGACATCTCAAGAAAGGACATTAAAAACAATAAATGAACTTCGTCTACTTGAGGCCTTGGATTTTACCATATCTCATCCCTAAATCTGAGTGATGATCTCATAAGTCAAAAGAGAGTTCTTTAGAATAGGAAAAGTGTAAACTAGTTCATATTTTTTTTCCTTATCTAGCCTTTAAAACTTACAAATTACATCCTTTGAAGAACTTAGAAAGCCATGGGGATATTATATGTGTGTGTGTGTGTGTGTGTGTGTGTGTGTGTGTATGTATGTATGTATGTATGTATGTTGGTATATTGGTATGTTGTAATGACATACCCGAGCAGAAATCTCTGAAGATAACCTGTACCATGTTGTGTGATTGTATATTGTCCTTTTCCTGTATTTATGGCTCTTTAAGCAATTATTCAGTAAACTCACTAACTTTATCTCTGGCTCATCTTGAAGTGTCGTAGGAATATTTTCTGTAGGGGCATAGCCAAGGACCAGCCTTTATCTGAGTGGAATGCAAGCTTCTAGTGGCCATAATGTGCTATGGTAATTTGCTGCTGGCAATTTTAGCAATACTTGTTAAGACATTCCTTTGTAATCAACCTGTCTTCTTTATTGACTCTTGCTCATAGGTTATATTTTCATTTGGATCCTAACATGAGTGATGCCGTAGGTTCAATCTTTAGCACGTGTGCGTGCGTGCGTGCGTACATGACATTGTTAACTTAAGATCTGTTTGTTTTTTCTGATTCTTTTTTTTAAATAGATTTATTTATTTTATGTATGTGAGTCCACTGTACTGTCTTCAGAGGACATTGAATCCTATTACAGATGGTTATTAGCCATCATGTGGTTGCTGGGGATTGAACTCAGGACCTCTGGAAGAGCAGTCAGTGTGCTCTTAACCACCGAGCCATCTCTCCAGCCGTTCTGATTCTTTTTTGTTTTTAATTAAAATTAAACAGAACATTGAAGGCAAGGTTTGATTTCAAGAACTAATTCTTTACTAGAGCCTTATAGACTCTCCTTCTACAAACTCTTTAAGGTTCTGTTAGATGCCTTGAGTTTGAACAATAGCTCCTTCACCATTTATCCCTGAACTTGTGGAATTGGATAAGGGGTACAGTCACAATTAGTAACAAAGGAGGGAAACTGATGTGGCTGTTTCAGAGTCAGTACTCCTTGTCGTTTTCCCTAAACAGTCTATAACCCTTGTGCTTCCTCAGTGGCTCAAATGGTGAGTTTTTGTGCTCTGCTTGTGCTGTGACTGCCTACAAAATGCTTTCAGATGGAAAAATGAGTCCACAATAAACTTGGTCCAATAAAAATGAAAATATGTTCATTTGTTTCCCTTCCTTCAAGGATGTTGGTGTTCAAAAAGGTGTTTCCCCCCCAGTTTTTCTGAGTAATACGGTCAAAAGGAAGTTCTCTCTAGTTAGATGTTGACCTCAAATGCAAATGAACTATATTTCATTATATTCTCTGAATATAAATTTAACTCTCTTTCACTTGCTTTACCCTTTAACATTTTAAAACATTGATTTATATGTTATGGTTGTTGGTAGCATAACCGTGCTAGTGGATGTAGTGGTTGGATGTAGCTAGCATTTTATGTAAGTTTGTATATATAAAAGATACCTGCCTCCAGGCATGAATATAGATTTTGGCAGCTCTCTGAGATAATTTTGAAGTAATTGTTCCATTCTTTATGAACTAATTGTTGGAATGAGGGACAGATGATTCTGAGATGTAGAAAATCAGACATGTTCAGCAAAATTCTCACAGTTGAAGTCAGTTATAGGATACATAGCTAAGTTTAAAGCTGGCATAAGATCTTAATGATAGTTTGGTTCTATTATGGATTCTTTGTAATAAATTTGCCATCACTAAAGTACTGGATATTATTGTGTGAAAAAAATGTAGCGATCAATGGCAAAGCTTACTTAGGAGCCTGTGAAATGGCACAGTAGATACAAACAGTTTCTGTACAAGCCTGATAATCTGATCTCTGTTCTGGAACCTTAGCAGGAGGAGAGAACCAGCCACTGAAGGTCTCCAACCTCCACATGCATGGCACAGCAACTACACACATAGATAGATAAAATAAATTTTAGCTGCGTGCATATCTTTTAATCCCAGCACTTGGGAGGTAGGGGCAGGCATCTCTGATGTTTCATATTGAGTTCTAGGCTAGCATGGGCTACAAAAAGACCCTGTCATTTCCCCTCTCCTGCCTCCCCCTCAAAAAACGAAAGAAAACTTATTCAGAGTGGGGAATAGTTTAGTGGGTAAAGTCTTGCTGCATATGCATAAGGACCTGAATTCAGATCCTCTTACAAAGTTGGACTTAGAAATAGACAGAACTGTAACTCCAGGGCTGAGGGTTGGAGACATGAATTTGGAGGTTCACTAGCCTGCCAATGTAGCAGAAACAGTATACTCAAAAGTTCAGTGAGGCCTGCTGTCTGACTCTCTCCCACCTGAAAAGGTGAAGCTGTTGAAGAAGGCATCCACATTCATTTCTCACTTCCACACTCACCCCCATGGATTAGCATACCCATGTATTCACACGCACACATGAATACATGCATATACTACACACTACCTAGAAAGTTAAATCAACGAAGTTATATACTGAAATACAAGCATGTGCAAGAGCCCCTGTTGTATTTTTATGTATAATTCACATGAATGATATAAGACAAAATTTGTGTAAGTATAAAGTGAAGTACAATAAAATCCTATTTTGGCTGGGGACATATCTTAGATTATGTGAGTGCCTAGTGTGTATAAGGCCACATCCAAAAACCAGTGTGGGTGGACACAAGTAGACAAGAAAAGATGATAATAGTTGAAAACATATTTTCCCCAGGGACCACTCTAAAGGTAGGTGTAGCTGGATATTAAATTTGGTTTGACTGACTTTGTTACAAAGCCCTTTCCACTGTGTAACATTCTGCCTTAACAAACATTTTATCAACGGTTTCTTTCTCTTTTTTTGTAGCCCCATCTGTTTTGATATGATTGAGGAGGCATATATGACAAAATGTGGCCACAGCTTTTGGTAAGACCATCTTCGTTCAGTATAACTGCAAGCAACCAGAAGTTATTCACTATAAACTAATTTTATTATATTGTTTCTTGGATTGATAGGTCTTTATAGGTTTGACAGTTCATGATACAAAGTGTGTTGGTACATGACTTCTGTGAAATACTCCAGCGTACCATAGGCTGTTAAGATACGTTTTAAAATCTTGTGTTTATTACCTGTTATCAGAAACTTTGGTGTTTTAGAAAATCAAGGTGGGTAGTCAATCAGTCATTAAGCATGAGATACCAGTCAATCACTTGGGAATAAGGTGGGCGGACCCAGAAAACATAGGGAAAGAATGGGGCAGATGGAAAAGGCCTACGCTGTCTTTGTTAACACTTCACTGAGAATCATGAGATTATATTTGTCATGTTGATATACTTAAAAGTTCAGATTGTAAATTAATATAGAATTTACAGTCTTACCATCTTGATGTGTATAGTTATGTTGTACTAAGTTTATTTCTTGGGCAGTCTCCAGGACTTGTTCTTTTGGCAAAACTGAAACTGTATACCTGTAAAAACAATGGTTCACTTTCCATCTCTGCAGTCTCTGAAGGCCACTAGTCTCCTTTCTATTTGTATGGATTTGTCAGTTCTAGATAACCTCATCTGTGTAATTAGATCATATGTGTCTTCCTGTGAGGGACTTATTTCACATAATGTCTTTTGCATTCTTCTGTGTTCTTTTTATGACACAATTATCTTAAGGTTGAATAGTATTCTGCTATAAGTACAGGAGACATTTTATTTATCCATTCAGCCATCTATGAAGGTTAGATGGATTCAGCCTCCTGGCTTCTATGAATAATGCTGCCATGAATGTGTGTATTAATTATTTTCCTGTTGCTGTGATTAAAACACCATGACCAGAAACAGCTTTAGAAAGAAAAGTCTGAGTTTCCCAGTCCAGAGGTATGGAAGTACATTGTGGCGGTGAGGCATGGCAGCAAGCAGTAAGCATGGCGGGAAGATAGGAACCCCAGAGCACACATCTTCAAATGCAGATTCAAAGCAGAGAGAAAAAACAGCAGGTGGAGAAAGACTGTAAACATTAATAGTGCTCCATCATTAATAAACTTCTCTGTCTAGGATGGACCTCTCAAAAGTTTCACTGCCTCCCCAGACAGTGACAGAAATATGAGCCTGTGTGGTGAACTCTCATTCACACAACAGTATGCGTATAGAAATACTAACGTGGAGCTCTGCTTTCAGTTTTTTTTTTTTTTTGGTTTTTCGAGACAGGGTTTCTCTGTGTAGTCCTGACTGTCCTGGAACTCACTCTGTAGACCAGGCGGGCCTCGAACTCAGAAATCCGCCTGTCTCTGCCTCCCAAGTGCTGGGATTAACTGCTTTCAGTTCTTGGTATTTATTTCTCTTTGGTTGTTGTTTTGTTTGCTGATTTACTACAAAGGATACCTTAAAGGCCAGAAGTAAAGGACCAGGTGTAGATGTACAACTGGGTAAGATCTGTAGGAAGGACATGAGCTTCCGACTCTCCAGGCACACCTGCCACTCGTCTAGTACCTCCACAGGTTCAGCAACATGCATGTTTCTGCTCCAGACATCACTCTGGGTCCTTACAGAGGCTTCATTAACTTGCAGGGACTGGCCATTAACTCACCCTTCAGTTCCTCTCATCTCCCCTTTGATGAAGGTGGATTGGAAGCTACAAACCTCTGCCAGAGTAGTTAGTGTCCTGAGCAACCTAGAAGCTCCCAGGCTCAGACACCTCATTTTACTTGCTTATCACTGGAAGGGCATTCTACTTGGAACTAGTCATCTTCACGATTTATTTACATATTTTATTGGCATTTAAGATTAGTCTTAGTATTTCATCAGTCCATATTGGAAGTTGCACCTGTAATTTTATGTTTAAAATGTTTAGCCATGACATTTGATAGGTAGATATCCCTTAGTTACCAGTGGGTGAAGCCCATGATCTGGAATATGATTCAGGATTAGTTAGGTTTGGACTAAACCAGCATACTTAATTTGCATTACTTATGTTCTCCATTAAAATAAAATTATGGCATTGAATATTCTTGGCTTAGAAAAGCAACTTTTATTGTGTAAAACCAAGTACTGTGAAATGTCAGTGCCTCAGTCATTCTTTTCTCCTTTGTTGGATATTTTCACTGTTGGGATAATTGCATCTTTTCAGATTTTTTTTGTCATCTTTTTTTTCCTTTTTATACCTTTGAAATCTTATTTATCCTTTCATAATTCATGCATATATAATATCCTTTAGTCATAATACCCTCCCCATTGTCCATTCTTCTGTCCTTTGCTTCCATCATTTCTCTTCTACCAAAAAGTCCTCCTCTTACTCTCATGCTTTGTTTTTCTCTTTTTATTATTCTGGTTATTTGAAAATTTCATACATGTATATATTATGATTACACTCCCTTTTTATCTCCCTCCTGTCCCTACCAACCCTCTGCATTCCTTCTAGTCTTTTCCCCAGCCTCATGTCTTTGTCAGTCTGTTGCCTTGTTTTGTGACCCCACTACATTTAATAAGGGATGGCTGCATGAACACAGGCAGGCAGTTATTTTCTTGAACAAGGGCCACTTACCAGAGGCTGCCACACAGGAATATGATCTGTGCCTTATACCTTGGCAACCAGTAATTGCCTATAGGACCTGGAAAAAAGTTAGGAACTTGTGAGTCCCTCTCCCATTTGTGATAGTTTATTAATGGGCTCAGTCTTTTGAAGATTTGTATAGGTTGCCACTCCTGCTGTACAAAAGTTAGGTCATGTCTAAAACACAGCATTTTACAGTACTCTTTCCCATCTCTGTTCTCTCTTCTTCCATTTTTCCTAAGTTTGGAGGGGAAGGGATTAAAGATGTTCTTTTGTGGCTGACCATTCAAAAACATACGAATTGCTTTAGTGCTTTTTTTGTTAACGTCTAAAATACTCTCCTTTTATCTGACAACCCCTCTCATCTTTGTATCCACTCAGGTTCCTCCTTCATAACTGGTTTTATATGATGACTGGTAAATGCCAAACTCTTCTCATGTTTATTTCCTGATAATAATTATTCATCTCCTTTTTTTTTCTAAGACCTTTTCCACATTGAATTCTTCATCTGTTGTATTTGTATATCTCATCATGTGTCTTTTTTTGGTAAAAATGAAAATACTTAATCTTATTTTCTATATTGATACTTCCATGTAGGAATTGTCTAGTCAGATTTGGAGCCTATCTGGTAGTCATAGTCTGGCTGTTGTTGAAGGAGTGATGATAGTTTTTCTGCAGCAGTGTTCACATCATTTGTTTGTAGACACTGGAGTCTGGGATTCATTATGGACAGAAATTACTCCAACTTTAGGTCCCTGTGCTTTGCCAAAGACCGCTGTTCCTGATTGTCTTGAAAGTAACACATGTGAAATTAAGGTAGTAGAAAAGTAGAACAGTAAAACCTGATAGATGGAGGGTAGCAAGATAAAAATCAGCATCAGTTTATAAAGATGAAGTAAATACATAATAATCTGGAAAGAAAAGGTATGTTTCCTTTTTAGAAATGATTTTTGTAAGTAATTTTCTAATTTTTTAGAAATTACTTTTTTTTCTGATTGTCAGAGTAATATATACACTTACTATAGAAACAAGTTAAAAAAATCTACAAAGAAATGTCTCCCCTATAGACAGAAGTAATGGTAACATTATAAATATGTGATTAGCTTATTTAAAATATACATATATATTAATAAGACAATGATTTTTTTTCTCATGTCAATTTGATATTTTTCTGATAAGGTTGAACAATAGTTAAGAGTATGTATATATACATGTATTTATTTATTTACTTATTTAGGTAAGGTAGCATACAGTTATAAACGGTCTATTATTATAAAGAATCTTGCTATACAAATCTATCAAATGGAGTTTGATCTCTAGAAGTCATGTAAAGGTGGAAGGAAAGAACCTACTTCACAAAGCTGTCCTTTGGAGGAGGGGGGATGGGATAGAGGTTCTAGGGAGAAGAAATGGGGAAAAGGAATGGCATCATATTGTAAATAAATAAAATATCCCCCCCCCCAAAAAAAAAGCTGTCCTTTGATTCATGGCATATGCCTCTCGCTATCACACACATATAGTACTGATCAAATAAGTAATTTTTTAATTAATTAATTTATTTATTTTCTTTTAAATCAAATCGTAATTTTAAATAAGCAATTTTTGAAAAGCAGTACACCATAAAAATATAAGATAGGACATTCCCTGTAATAATATATGATATATATGTATTATATGTAAACAATATATTTTATAATTTATATATAAATGATATATGACATACACATGTAAAATGTGATTTTTTTTTATTGCCAGTATACCATTGCATTGAATTGATAATTGCAGATTTCGTCAATTTGTGTGTGTAATTTAGGATGCTTCTCTTATAGATTTCTATTATGATGGTTAGCTAATTCTGCATTGGATAGCGTATGTGATTCCTGATGATATATCTCTATAAATAAAAGTTTCTATATTAAAAGGGAATATAAGAACTTAAGGTTTTTTTCCTGCATTTACCTTTTATGAAAGTTGTACTGGTTGCATTTCTTTCAGCTATGTAAGATTTTGTCTTCTGGAGTTTAACACTTTTATTTTTCTATTCTTAGTAAACATTAACACCTAATTTTGAATCACCTTTTTCTTACTAATGAAGATGGTTTTCTCATGCTTAACTAGATTTTTGTCTTTCTTTGAGTATCTAGATAGAATAGTATCTTTTCGCTTATTTGAACTCTGTGTGATCTAAGGATATCATTACTCTAAGAATATGAGTAGTTTGCTTAACCAGACCATAGGCATTTGCTTTCCTAGTGTATAATAGAAATTACATAACCTAAAACTTAGTCATTCACATTTTATATTACAAGTATGACTTTATAAATTGTCTAGAAATGTCTTATGTATTTTGCTTGTTTTATAAAGATAAAAGTGGAAATAAATGTTATATTAGTTATGTTGAAAGTGAGAGTACTAATAGTATTTTGTGACAGGTTTGTTAATTTGTCATTTTAATTAAGTTTGTGTTTTTTCCCCCGTGCTAATAGCTACAAGTGTATTCATCAGAGTTTGGAGGACAATAATAGATGTCCCAAGTGTAATTATGTTGTGGACAATATTGACCATCTCTATCCTAATTTCTTGGGTGAGTCTTTGAAATTATTTTTATTATACTCTTTCCACAAAACATAGGCTAACAATAGCTTATTCAGAAATCCCAACTCAGAAGTAAGCACGCTTTTCTCTGTTACTCACCAGGGTGCTTTCATCTTCTTGGGCTATGGCATAGACTCTATACATGGTTAGTACCATTTCTTGTTATATTTCAGTTCCATAAAAGCAAACCCAACACACCCTTAGAATTTTGTACACATTTGGACAGAATGTAAGGTTTCAAGGAATTGTCAGAGGTTTTGGACAAATTTATGTAGTTTTGCATGAGTCTGTGTTTCTACTGACAATGTAACAGTGAGAAGTAACAAAGGAAATGTTTGATGGGGAGGGAGAACATGTTCTTGGTCAGTGTTTTCTGATAGAAGGGGAAGATCAAGCATAGAGACCCCTGGATGACGCATATGTAGAGTGTATGAACTGGAAAGGCTCCCAATAGGAAGAGGAGGAAATAAACATAGATTTTGATATAGAAATGTAAGAAGTAGAGTATAACTTTAAATATAAATGGTAGAAACGTGGAACTAATGTAGTCAGGTGCTCGTTGTAAATTTAACAATTAATGTTTTAAGTTGAATGTAGCGGCGTGTGTTCATAACCAGCACTGGGTAGGCTAATGCAAAGGGGGCTGTGCGTGATCCAGGCAGACCCTGTCTCAAAATAAGTTATTACTTTTATATACTCAATGTCTTAAAATAAAATTATAGACCCAATTTCAGTACAAATTAAGAGGTAATGAGTATTAAAGCACAACAAATACTAAGACTAATCTTAAATGCCAATAAAATATGTAAATAAATGGTGATGATGACTAGTTCCAAGTAGAATGCCCTTCCAGTGATAAGCAAGTAAAATGAGGTGTCTGAGCCTGGGAGCTTCTAGGTTGCTCAGGACACTAACTACTCTGGTAGAGGTTTGTAGCTTCCAATCCACCTTCATCAAAGGGGAGATGAGAGGAACTGAAGGGTGAGTTAATGGCCAGTCCCTGCAAGTTAATGAAGCCTCCGTAAGGACCCAGAGTGATGTCTGGAGCAGAAACATGCATGTTGCTGAACCTGTGGAGGTACTAGACGAGTGGCAGGTGTGCCTGGAGAGTCGGAAGCTCATGTCCTTCCTACAGATCTTACCCAGTTGTACATCTACACCTGGTCCTTTACTTCTGGCCTTTAAGGTATCCTTTGTAGTAAATCAGCAAACAAAACAACAACCAAAAGACTATGCAAAAGGGAACTTAAAATACACAGAATATATACTCATTAAAGTGGCTGCTAGAAAGGATTGCAAAGTTGTGGAGAAGCTGTGTGTATAGTGTTCATAGTAGATAACAGTATGATGTTTTCTGAAAACAAACCAAAGTTTTCATGATCCAATAATTTTCTGTATGTAGACAGCAAGAATAATTGTTGAGAAGTATTTGTGTACACACATTCACAGTATCATTCACAGGATCCAGGAGATCAGCTGTGGAAGGCTAAGTGGATAAAATACAATATAGAATATTACTCAGACTTGAAAAGGGAGGGAATTCTGACAAACCTAAACTCCCTCAGTATACTCAGTTCCTTTTTTCTCTCCCAGATCTTCTAAGACTACTCCATTTTTCAGGGCCTAGTCTTTAGATTTTCCCCACTTTTCACCCCCAACCTATTTGTATGTGTTTCTGTGTTTGCAAACTTTGCAATCCAAGTTTTCTTAGGTTTGTTGTGAATCAGCCTCTTACTTGCAAACTTTAATATCTGTATTTAGATCTGGCATGGTGGTGAGCACCTGTAATCTGCCAGCACTTCAGAGGATGATGTAGGAGGATTTTTAATTCAGTTTAAGCCTCAGCTGCACAGGAAGGCTCTACAACGTCTGTCTTGTCTTTGTCTGTCTGTCTGCTCTCTCCCCTCTTTTTTTCCACTATTTCACATACTCTTCCTCTCCCTTCCTCCCTGCCTGCCTCTCATTCTCTCTCCCTACCCCGCACTCCCCTTCCCATTTGTCTATCTCTCTGTCGCACAAACACATTTAGCCAATCAGACCTTCTGCTAGGCACTGTGTTCTGTGCTTTATAGCTATGGCTTCATTTTATGGTAGTCTTATCCTAGTATTATTATGCTTATTCTTCAGATGGAAACACTAAGATACAAACAGGTTGTATAAAGGATAAATAAAGGCTTTACCTTTTTTTAAACCTTACTTTCCCTTTTTCCGCAGTCTTTTTCTAAGAACTTATTTCTTACCCAGATTAGAGATGAAAATCTGAATATGAAAGTCTTAAAAGTCTCATGCCAAATGGCTAATATATGTAGATTTTTATTTGAAGAAACTTATGCTTTATTCTCATTTTAAAGTGTAAAACCAAAAAGTATTTTTGAAGAAGTGCTATATAAAAAAAAAAGCATACTTAAGAAAAATAGATCAGGTCTTCTATTTCTCAGACAAAACTGCTGCTTATTTAGAGGTACAATCTTAAAAGAGAAAATTTGTTCAGTTCTTTGAGCATTTCATACACTGTGCTTTGGTAAGAGTCACCCTTCTCTCAGTTCCTTCCAAATCCACTCCCCTCTTCCCTATTAACCTAGCCTTGTGTTTTCTTCTTCTTTTTAAAATACCTATCAAGTCCAATTTATTCTGCCCATATGTTTTTAGATGTGTGGCCTTCTACTAGGTGACAGTTAAATTTAGGTGTTGGTTTAATACAATGTTCCTTGAGCAGAATAACAGCAGTATGCTCTTTCCTGGCCCCTATGACTCACTAGTCACAGGATTTAGGCTGACAGTGGTGCTGAGTATTGCTTCTTTTTGTTGCTTGGGCATTAAATCCAATCAGAAAGTGGTTGGTTATTCCCATAATGGTTGTTTCACTAATGTATATATAAATGTATCATATATATATAAATGTGCCATTTTGTGTTACACACACACACACACACACACACACACAACAGGCTGTTAATGTAGATCAAATGGTACTTTCCTCCTCCAGCATTGTGTATAGCACCTTCTTTGAAGAATAGTGTTTAAAGGGGAAAATACTCTGCTTCAGTATCTACCCAAAATTCTGATTCAGTGTTTAAAACTTATTTTGCTTACTTACATTATTCCCTTACTAAAAATGTTTATTTTGAGAAGATTTTTTTTTTGTGCTGCTTAGCTTGTCTTTGAACCTATAATCTTACCATGCCAACTTTTCAGATGTTGAGCTATAGACCTGTACCACCATACTTGTTTCCCCCCCCCTTGGAGTATAATCTTTCTATAATATTGTAGGCTATAATACTTCATACCAATTAACATTTTTTTCATTTTAACCTTCATTTTCTATTACTATTTTGCAGTCTGCAACCTTTAAAACTTGATGTAATAGTGTTAGAAAAAAATGAATCAAATACAATGGCATGTAAGACTTTAAATATGGAATAATACACAATATTGTAACTATATCACAATTCTTATTCACATGCTAATAACTTAATGTACTGGAAACATTAAACTCTGTCTTACTCTTTTAAAAAGATTGGTTTATTTTTATTATATGTGTATGACTGTTGTATTTGTATATATTTATGTGTACTAACTGTGTGCCTGGTCAAGAAGGCTAGACAAAAGCATTGGTAGTTGTGAGTTGCTGTGTAGGTGCTGGGGATTGAAGGTGGTCTTCTGTAAGTGAAACACGTCTCCTAACTACTTAGCTGCACTGGTACCCCCACTGTGGTTTATGTTTACTTGTTTATTCTTCATGTGTTATTTCAAATTCTCTCTCTTTTGTAGATTGTAATAATTTTGTTAGATGTTTGTTACTTTTTAGAATCAGACTAATGTGTTAATTTCTACTCTTAACATTTAACCCTATTAATCTTCACAGAACTATCCTCTTATGTCTCGTGAGTTGGTCAGACACATGCACAATATACACTTTTATCTGTATTCTTTTTCATTCATCTTTTTATTTAATAAAGAGCATAGCATATTTTGGTTCCATTCTTACTTGGCCTTCATATTGCCTGTGTATTTGTAAGGATATATCAGTGATAGTATTGATTATTCTGTTGTATTACAACTACTACATCATACACATTTCTCATAGTAATTTGAGTTATTTGAAGCTGTGGGTCATTTCATTAATTTTTGAAGCATCACACCTAAAGTTTCTTTGGTATCAAACGATTTATTTGTAGAGTGGATGGTATTTGGTATTTAATCTGTCTTGTTCCATTTGTTACCCAAGTTAAGTTCTGAGTCCTAAGAGAGATTTACACTTTTTGATATCAGTTGGCTGTAAGAACAAACAACAAAGCATAACATCCCCAAATACAAGTAAAGTGCCTTAAACATTATTTAAAGTGCATTCAGGAGAATTTTCAGAGCTAGTTCAGCACTTCATTGATAATGTTAAAATTCTTTCTCTTATGACCATAAGCCTTCATTCTTTTCATAGCTACCCTAAAACTTCAAAATGGATTTAAGAAAGTTCAGAAATCACCTTATTCTGGAGACAGGGAGATAATTTTTTACTTACATATGAAAGACAGCACATTTCTCATTGTTTAAGACTGTTTGAGGGCTGCACATGGCAGTTCTATAATCTGGAGAGGCAGGAGGAGCATCTGGGGTCCAAGTCAGTCTTGGTACATAGTAAGACCTTGTCATAAACTGAAAACAAACCATGTGACTTCTTCAGCTTCATATAATTTACTGGCAAAGAATAGACTAGCTAGTTTGGCTTAGAGAGATTTGGCATCTCTGAAAGTTATATGACATCTGAGATTTGGAACCATAGTCATATTACTGAGAAGGATGGGATGGATTTGTGTAATTATCAGCATTCCTCGAGGGCTTTATAGAAAAGTTACCACAAAGTAAAAGTCTTCAAACCTTGTCTTTCAGAAGACACTTAAATGTTTTCACCTGGTGAAAAAATTATCTTTATTGAGCAACATATAAAAGAGGGGTATATATTATAAAGAATCTCCTGTAGAGGTTGTAGTAGAATATGTATAAAAAATGATTCCTAATTCAAAATAGAACAGAAAGCTACTAGTTTCTCCTTTACATTTTTTAAAATTTGAGACTCTTGTAAAGTTAAGATAAAAATCTACCAGAGCAGAACAATTAGAAGATAAATAAATTTAACAAAAATACAAATTCTGTGTGCTTTTTACTTTTGTTTTCAGTGAATGAACTCATTCTCAAACAGAAGCAAAGATTTGAGGAAAAGAGGTTCAAATTGGACCACTCAGTGAGTAGCACCGTATGTTTCAGCTCTTGTTACTATTTCTATTTTTGTTTGTTTTACAGTGCTGGAGATTGAACCCAGGGCTTCATATATAGTAGACAGATAATCTATGAGATAAGCAAAATTTTTAGCCCTTCTTATTCTGATTTCTACTAAATTAATTTTAATGTTGTATTTCAATAATAGATATTAATATCTAGTAAAGAATGGATTTTTCAAAAAGGGGGTTTAAGAGTATGATACTCAGATAACAAATAAGTAAATAATAACTTTCTAAAGTGCATTGTCTATAATAGTTTTTTTAGACTAAACATCATTTGCAGGGTCTGGTAGTGTCACAGTAGATAGTTTACTTATATCTAACATTTGAAGGGTAAACTGTTCAAAGTTTCTGAATTAAAAGGATTAGCCCCAAACTATTGAGACAAGTAAGTTTAAATAAATATTCTACCAACTGCAAGGCTGAAAATACTGGTGTTTTCATTCATAGTACTTAGATGTCAACTTAATATTTGTCTTCTGTGTACATTTTGTATTTGTTAGCTAAATTTATTCAAAGTAGAGATAGTATTTAAATTGTAATTGGGGAGTGGTAAGTTAGAATGTGAATGTAATTTTGCTTTTGGTGTATTAGAAAGATTTCTTAAATTTTTGTTTTAGAATCTAAAGCTGTCTTGTTAAGTTGCCATGTTTCTTTTTAATTTTAGAATGGGCATAGATGGCAAATATTTCAAGATCTGCTAGGAACTGATCAAGACAACCTTGATTTGGCCAATGTCAACCTCATGTTGGAATTATTAGTTCAGAAGAAGAAACAACTGGAGGCAGTAAGTGGTGCCTGAACTTAAAAGATACTTTGTGTTAAATGACGATCTAGTTATTATATAATGAAAAATACCTAGAAAGGTTTGGAAATAATAGGCCATTGTCAGTAACTGATTATTAGATCAAACACATATGAAAAGGCATTTCTCCAGCCCCTGTTTTATAGGCCCTAAAGCAAATGAATAAAGGATAATAGATTTTCAAATTTGACAAAGCTGTGCACTGGGCTAACTAACAGTGATGTAACAAAGTTATGAACTTTAAGTTATGTATTGTGGAGTCTTGAGATTGGGCGTACCAGGTGTCAAGTTTAGTACAGGCTGGGGATAGGATTGATAGGTGGAGGATTGGCAAGATAACTCAGAGGGTAAAAAACATCCATGCCATGCAAACCCGATGACCTTAATTGTCTCCTGGATCCCAGTGGAAGGAGACAACTGACACTAAAAAATTGTCCTCTGACCTCCACAGGAACAAACCCACACCCCCCCTCAACACCCACACACACACCAACACACACACACACACACACACACACACACACACACACACACACACA